GAGAGTGAAAAAGAGAGAGAAAGAAAGGGAGTGTGTGTGCACACATGTAAATGATCGTTTTATGTCATAACTTTGTGTATTTTAAGGACAGCTACATATAATACATACTGATGTGAGATCCCGTTTGGATGTTCTTCGTAACTGTAAGTCGCAAGTGTACTATGATGTACAAAACTCGTCGTTTCTAACTACACTTATAATCTTGTTTTTATTTCAAAAATAGAAGAGTAAAACTCAAATTCCCCTTTTCCAAAATTTACGGTAATTTTACGGTAAAGTCGAAGAGATTTGTCGCGGATTTTTACATGTTTCTCCGTCTTTTATGTCATGATAAATTGTCGATTTGTTCGAAAAACATTGCAAGAAGCGAAACGGAAAATAAATAACGTGGAATTAGAGAATATGAATTTTACTCCTATACTTCATTGATTACTTTTCTCTTAAGGCCTGAGCATACATTTATTTTATTTTAAATCATAGAAAGTCTAAGAGAGTGCAGTCTAAGGAGAACAGGGGGATCTAAGATCCATTCTTCCTACATTACAATTTTAAGAAAATTGCAGTTGACTCGCAGCGCGCGACGTCGTTTCGTTCGTAATGCCTTGTGTACACGATGCTAGAAATCGGTCCGAGTTTTGGTTTAAGCCAATCAACTTGCAGCTCTTACAGAAAAGCAGCAGTTTCATTGGCTTAAACCAAAACTTGGACACAGTTCTTGCATCGTGGACACCGGGCCTTAAAAGCATTTTCGTCGGGTCCGTTCTTATTTACACTCTTAGAAAGGAACTCGCACTTGCAAGACAAAAAGAAGAAAGGCCACGTGGTGCTGCGGTAAATGTAATAAAAGCGGACCCAAAGATTTTTATCGTACACGATCCAGTACCTTTCGCAAAAGTGCGAAACGGTTTCCAAGTATAAATAAGCATTTAAGTGTTACTTCAGTTTACAGCTGTACGCGAAACATATAACAGTTAGGTGCAAAAGCGGATAAAATCATCCTTCCGAAAAGCGCAGCTACATATCGCGAAAGATGAATTCTCTAGCTCTGATAACGATAATCATTCTACGATATCGCCGGTCTTAATGAAACAATTATATCGATTGTTCTTTTTTCTTGAAAATAATTATGCTAGAATAAATATATCTAATTGTTTTTTTTTCTATTTAGGAAGAGTTATTAATATAATACAAAACTGTAAAATATGAATTATGACTGATGATAGTAAAATATAATGTACATGAATATAAAAATGCGAAAAAATGTATGAGTAAAGTTTAAAATATAATTTTTTACTTATAGTCGGTTCTTCTTCTATCGTCTGTTAAATTAATTTAATTGGCGAATTTTTCCTTAAGATCGACGATATATATTTTCCATTTACTGACAGTATATATATTACTATGATACAAACGAGATTATACAGTTTTCGGGATACCATAATAGTAATAATAACTCACTTGATTGCAAACGATGTTTGCGATCTGTATACAGTACATGTATGTTACATCAAGATGAAAGTACTTTGGAGGCTCACGCCGTGTAAAAAGTAATCGAACGTGTGACTCGACGTGTTCGTCGCGCTGTCTCGTTAAATTCCCGTAAACATTGGTCAAAGCTAACCGATGTTTAATTGATTCTTGCCTCTTTCTTGGTCATAGAAAATTGATTTGACTTGCAGGAATGGTGACAACCATCAGCGAAACCATTCAAATAAGGAGAATCGCCGGATTTTTCTTCAGCTAAAGAGACAAGGAATCAATTAAATTTCAGTTATGTAACTGAAGGATTCTAATGGTCTAATATGTTTTTATAAAATCTCGAAGAAACTTATTTTAGAGTTCTCTTCATAATTATGTATTTTAACTGATTTATTTTAAAATTTAAAGGTGAAGAAACTTGTATATATCCTCGAGCTCTTACAAAACTGGATCGTATTGAATCCTTCAATTTTAATTAATGTTCAGAAATGATGCTACATGATACACAATAACGAGTTCGATGAGACTCATCTTCTTGCGCACTGCCAATAAAACAGTATTTCAAGTGCGAACGATAACGAACCTCTTATAGCGATTGTTATCTAAACCCTCTGGATCTCAAACAGCTTGACGTCCGTATCATACCATATGGGTGGTTCGACGTTTCTCAGATATATAACGCCCCACATGTACGTGCGAAACCACGCGGTTGTGCCGGCGTTAGCCTGATACCGCCTGATGAGGATAGGATGCGGCACTGGCAGCAACCCGACAAGGGTACCGTGTTGCAGGAACTTCAGGATCTCGCTCTCGTCTGTCAACCCCCTGTTACAATCAATAAAAGAGAAAAAAAAATATATATATATTAAGTGTAAAAACGATAACATGTGTTGTTATTTATATGAGAATTTTTTAACAGGATTCTCTATATGAGTGACGGTGAAAAGCGTTCAAGTCCGAAATAGACGATCTGTTATTTATAAATCAGAATGCTTGCTCACTTGTCGATGCAGATCTTCTCGACCTGTGGAACGAGGACCTGAAGTAATCGCATGATGGTCTGTAGTGGGAGCTTGCTCTTCCACTGGTACACCCAGTCGCTGGACGGCACCCACTGATGAACGTTATTGACATTGGTACTCGTTTGCTCGGCAACACGAATGCCACCCTTCTGCACATCGAACAAATTTCGACCGTTATTGCCGATTTATTAAACAGATTTTTATATCAATCTTTGTCACTATTGCATTCAATGGATTTTTGATCGGGAATAAACTTTTCATATCTCTGTTTCTTACCGGCACTATGGAATTCTTGGTCGCGTTCATCGATTCCTCCGCGATATCCATCTTGCTCTCCGATCGATTACTGATCGACTTACCAATATCAACGCTGGCCGACGGACTCAGCGGATGCGCCGATTCCTTTTCCGTCATTTTCTCGATACCTGTTAGTTCGACTTTATATTATCTTTAAAATTGTCTTTAAATTTTTATCTCTATCCAATAATATCCATTGCTGTTCTCGAATTTAGATCTGTGAACTTAGTTGCCAGCCCGCGTACAGAAGGAGACTCACCAGGAGTCTCCAACAAGGATGCCTTCAAAGTGCCGGGTTCGGCGGGTTGCGCGGGATGCGATCCTTCCATCGCGGTCTCGCTGACATTCTCGTTAGACGTACTCGCAGGCATGTGACGACGCTGTCTCTTGCTAAGAGACTTTGCGATCGTGTTGCAATCACTGGGTAAGTTCGCGAGCGCGTGGAACACTTGCCGTTTGCGTATTATAGTGTAGACTAAGTTGCTATTTCCATCAAACTGATACTGAAAATCGAAAACAACGCGTCTAATTTTATATTGCCGAAATGGGTTGTATATTTTTTGTATGTACATTTTCCATGCGAGCGCGTTACCTGGATAATATTGTTAAAGATCTCGAGCAAAAAGAACACCAAATGGTGATTAGTGGGCGCCGAGAAAAGGAACCACGGCGTACTAAATGCTTCCAATAAATGCAGCAGTTTCGTGCTTGCCACCATGGACAGTGTTTTAAGATACGGCGAGACATTGACTAGTATCGTTAATAGACAATCAAACAGCGGTTGCAGTCTCTGATGGCCGGTTGTGATGATTTTATGAAATACAGTGACTAAGAGATCAGCATGTGTTCCTGAAACAAAATGATTTGCATTCTGATATTGACAATTTAAATGCATTTAAACAAGACTTGAAAGTAAAAATTTTAAAAATATATTTTTAACACTGTGACTAAAGTATTAAGAAACTGAATTAATAATAATTTAATAATAATTAATTTAATACTAAAGAAACTAATCTTAACTATAAAATCAGAAAATGATTTTACCAATTGACTTTATAATCGAAAATATAAATCTACAATCACATGCTATTACTTTTTTCGAATTAAAATCAAGTTTCTTAAAACTGCCTGATACAATATAATTGACGTTGTCACACCTGTAAAAACTGGAATGTCCATAGGCACTGTAGCTGTGTACGGTTTATTCAACCTCACTCCGAAATTGCGTTCTCCACTCAAGAGGAGTAAAATAAATACGCCGATGTGCATTAAACCAACTCGTGCTGAAAAAATCGGAAAGTTAAAATAGACAAATTATTCATTTAATTAAAAGACGAAATTTGTTTAATACACTCCTTCGATCAAAGAAATATTTAAGTCTCCCGAAGAGCTCATCAATTACCATTTATTTTATTTTATGTATAATTTAAAAGAGAATCAAATTTATTTATTCCCGATTAATTATGCTGCTTCTTCGAAAATATTCAAATTAATTTGTGGTTTCTTCGAAAATATTCAACGTCGTATTTCATTATCTCTAGAATACATCATTTTCCACGTGTCAGATATCTCATTTTTTTAAACATTTTGATATTGAATTAAATCAGCGTGATGTAAATAAACGAAAGTAAAAAAAAAACAAAGAATAAAAACTCACATTGATCAGCACGCGAGTCGTTCAAATGATAAAGAATCGGCACAAGAACCTCAAGGACATCCGAGCTCTTTAGCACGTAATACAAGAACTTTTTGTTGTAATCGCACATTTTCCAAAAGAAGACTAGCAGCTCCTGGTGAAAATGCACTTTCTTTGTTGAATTCGGTAGATACGTTTGCATCAATGGATTATTCAACAACCTGGTGATACCCTTCAAGACAAATTGAAAATCTATAGGAAGAAAAAAAAATGCATTTAGTCCTTTTTCTATAATCTATATAATACCCTTGTCTTCTCATCTTTCATCATATATATTTTTTTTTTATCTAAAAATTAGCATTTAATTAACCAAAAATTTATTCATCGCAAATATCGAACTTCCAGGATCTACGAAATTTAAATGTTATTTAATTTTGAACATATTGCTTTAAAAAAACTTTAATTCAAAGTCTAATTTTATAAAAATATATATAACTAAATATTAAAAATGTTACCTTCATCGCGGTGGATTCGACTTAGATAATTGATGAACAAATTATCTCCGACTACCCCTTCTTCCAACGGTGCTCCGCCAGTGGTATCATGATCCAAAGTTACGATCAAGATTTGCAAAGCGACATCAACCAGCGGTTCCAAGGAATCGGTGAACAGCAAATGATTGTATGGCACACCATATCCAACAGGATCGTATGCGCATACCGTGTTCAAAAGCGATGTAAACATGGGTAAAGCGTGTCTGTGAACAATCATATGCAAATGTATACTAATTGTATTTAATGTGACAGAGCCTCATTGAATCTTTTTACCAAAAAAAGATCTAAAGGGAGGAAAACACTTGATAATTAAAAATCTCATATAAAAGTACAAATAATATAAATAAAAAATATTAAAAAATATTGTAATTAAATGGAATAAATTACCTGTTTTCACTGCTGGTCAAATACTGAATCCATCTGTTCGGCATAATCGACAAGTCCGTCGGCGGATTGTACATGGTTTCGCTGAAGCATGTCAGCAAGAGCTTCAACAATTCCGTGCGATTCGAATCTAGAATAGGATACCTGGGCGGCGAGTACGCGAAACCTACTCCCGCTTCCCAGATATATTCGCAGCTGTCTATCGACTGCAACTCATCGGCTTTGTCCTAGAAAGACATTACGAGGCGTAATGCGTTCCGCATTTCTTATCGAAACTCCGACAGCTAGTTAACGAAGACTCACCGGACCGGATTTTCTGTTTGCAGCTACAGTAAAGTCAGGACAAAATAACAGATCCTAAAACAGAAATAGATTTAAGATTACATAGTTGTTTTGCAAATAGATGTAATATACTCAAGATATATGCTCTTGCTGCATATAAAATATTAAACATCACCAATTGATTATTATAGATAATTAACAATATAATTTTATTAGAAATTTATTATAAAATTTGTATTTTATAGGAATATTCAATATGTCACACTGTCTACTTTAAATGTCTCTTACACAGAGCGCGTTCACCAAAGAATGTGCCAATGGCAAGCTCTCCTCGTCATCTTTGCCAGGTAGACTGGACCAAAAGAAGCCTTTCCAATCGGGATCCTCGAATATGTAAGGTAGCAAACGTGTCAATAAGCGACAGCAGTTCAGGACAGTTTGATGCTCCCGTTGGGTTCTGCAGCTGCTATCCACCGCCTTAACCAACTTCTCCACCGCCTTGTAGCATAACGTTGCCAAATTGGAAGGCGCCTCCTCCCTCAACACACGGATCTCCGGTGCCGGGATCAGGGTAAAGATGTCCTGAACGTTGGTCACGTTCTCGGACCAGAACTGATCCCAGAATATATCGTCCGACGAATCGATCACCTGATCAGTAGACGTTACACGAATAAAACACATGTGGAACGCAGTCAATAGCTTGAATATTTCGAAAGATACATTCATCCTCAGCGTTCAGTGTGTAATACACACGTCAAGGAACATTCAAATTTAATAACTAATTGCGACAAAAAATTTTAATAAAAATCCAACACATCAATATGTATAGGAAGTAAAAATCTAATCCATCTAATCTATTAGATATCGTGTAATACTTTTACAATTGTTCCTCATAGCAGTTATTGTTGTTGCAATTTGACAAATCTCAAGACTGTTATCACGCTTTCATAATCTCTCCATCAGCAATATCAATTTCGATATGGCAACGCGTTCGGTCATTCTTTTTCCTCAACACATCAATATTACGTATACATAAAACGATAAAAATGCAGATGTTCTAGCTAGATTCATCGTACTGACTCGTTGATCGTCAATTTCGTCGAGGAAACGCATTTCCGTCGACCTGCCAGCCGATCATATGTTACCCGTCAGATAAACAAGCGGCTGCCTCTACCTGAGTTTTCGACGTCAATTGCACCACGGCCTTCCGGAAGTTCAGTTTTGTGTCGGCATTGCCCATCGTGTTCCTTGTTGTCACCGGCAGCAATTATAAAATTCGTCGTAGCCGAACGCCGAACGGGAGTAAAAACGCGTCGTTGCTCTTTAAATGGACATCATCGTCGCCATGTTCGCATTTGTGACAGCGGCAGAGGATGACAGATAAACGGAGCTACCAACCGCAAGATTTTTCGCGCGAAAAAGACGAATGGAAAAATGAAGCACTCGATTCTTTGGAGGAGAGGAGAGCAGAGGATCATAAATTTGTTTTATGTTACGTCTTATAAATTTTCCGCAGAAGCCCAAATTGATGCAATTCACTTAGAAAAATTTATCTCGCATAATAATATGTATATATTTTTCTCAATATACATTTCTAACGTTTATGCAACGAAACATTGTTAAAATAGTTGTTAGAACGTATCTTAAACTTATTCAAAATAAAAAGTTGAGAATCCCTTTCGAGAACACACCCTTTCAACAATAATGAATATAAAATATATATATTGCTCTTATATATAAGCTAAGCATACTGTAAAATCTTTATAAAAGTTAAAAATAAACATTTTCTCGTAATTTATTTCGTTCTGGAATGGCACACACGTTTACGCTCTTTCAGTTTACGAATTACAGTTTGCTCCTTTCTTGTTCGCAAATTACTGTTTCCCTGTGCTTCTTGTTCCACTTCTCCATCTCGTCGACAGAGTTCCATATGTCGTCTGCGAGTAATTCGGGTTCTTCGAACGCCGCGAAATGGCCCCCTCGAGGCATTTTGGTGGCGCGCAAAAGATTCACGAATCGTTCTCTCAATTTACTTGGATCTTGCTCCATGATTTCGTGGGGAAACTGCGCGCAAGCGCTGGGAACCTTTATCGGCGTTCTGCAAAGAAAATGACGCTTGTTATTTGTGGCTTGTTACGCTGCAATAATAATAGCAACTCGCGATGATAAATTACGTACGATTCCAGGAGTGCCGACAAGGACCTGTTCGACTTAGTATACAGTTCAGCGTATATTCTCATGGCTGTAGTGATGCTATTCGATACCCAATAGATCATCAGGTTATCGATCAACTCATCATACGTAAACTTCTCCAGAAATCCACCATCCGCCCTCTTTTTGTAAGACGGATTTGTGCCGGTTGAAAATTTCTCGATGATATACGCTGCCAAACCAGCAGGTGAGTCGTTCAGACCGACCCCTGAAACACACGACGCTCTGAAGATATTGGATTTTCGCTCGTTCAGTGTGCGCAAAAATCTTCTTACATTCAATTTATAACGATCGATTATAAGCGCCAAGGCCCGTATTCTGAACGCACTCTTATTGATAAATGCGCACATATCTTATCGATAAAAGTGCGTTTAGAATACGGGCTTAATTAAGTCTTTTTGCATAATTATATAATATGTCGCGTACCAACTGTATCTGGCTTTGTAGCTTGGATATGATAATATCCAGTCTCTGCCAGGAGCCCGAAACCAGGAGCTTTTTTAGTTTTCGCCCAAGGCAAGAAAGAAGGAAGGCGCAATGCTGATTTCAATTCTGAGCTCAGGAGAGTCCACTTACTGAATACTGTGCACAAGTTGGAATGCATACCCAAGACGCTACGAATTTGCATAACATGCAACATACGATTGTTTTGTGTCTTTAATGCTAAGCGCCACATTAGGTTTAACTGATAAAACTTTAGAGAACAAACTTACTGTTGCGGATATAAACATGACATAGTGTGAATGACGGAGGCACCCCAATCGCCGCCTTGAACGTAATACTTATCGTGGCCAAGCCTCAACATGAGATTCTTCAAAACCACACTCATTTGAAGAGCCGAAAGTTCAGGTATTGTAGCTGCGCTGGAGAAACCGAATCCAGGCAGCGAAGGTGCTACCACCTCAAATATAAAATCGTACTCGGGTTTTGGCGAAGTCAGGAATGGAATGATCTTGTAAAATTCTATTATGGAGCCGGGCCATCCATGTACAATTAACAATGGCAAAACGCGTTTTCCCTCTGTAGTACTTGGTTTCACATGGATGAAGTGAATATCTAATCCTGCAATAAATATAGAGCACATGTTTATGATAGATTCTATAATTCAATATTAATAAATAAAATGATCCAATGAGAACACTCGTTTAATTAATTTTGATATTGATACTACTTATCGGTTGTTATAAATAGAATTAAATTTCGTTCTCTGACCAGAAATAAATTCACATACTTATTTGTCTGAAAACTTGACTTTGCATTCTATTCGATTCTATTTTATTTAAATAGATATATAAAATTATAGATAAAAAATATAAAAAAAATTATAACATATAATTATATCCTGAAAGTCCCTTGTTATATAAACAGCATTATATTCCGAAATCTTTGTTATACGAGCGGTTACATAATAAAATAAAATATTTATTATCTGGCCTTTTACAGAAAAAGTTGGCCGGCTCTTAAATTGAACCACAAAGCGGTCAAGCTGTTCGGTAAGTGCTCGGTAATCCGAAAGAATACGAGCTATATACTTTTCTATCGATGATCGTACACCCACCTTGGATATTCGTTTTAAAATGTGAATACTGATTTATATATCTCTCACGTTCCTCGAAATTATAATTGTTCGACCAGTGATCTAGAAATTTGCGCAGGGCGTCGGTGTTAGTGCCGTAAGTCCAGGCAACGTCCTTTAACGGCGGGGTCAGAGGTCTAGTATGATTTAATCGATATTTCAAATCCTTTATGACCTGCAAAACGATGCATTTTATTTTTTAGACCGTTAAGTATTCAATTTGCACGTGCCGTTTCTTCAAACAGGCTGCGTTCCGATATTCACTATCAGTACTGAAAATCATAATTGTGTATACATTACGTAAACTAAAGATAATACAATCTAAACTTGTCTATAATTTGCATACCTCTTCGGTGAAGGTAACTTTGAACGGTCTGATATCATTGTTGACAGAGCTCTCGGTGCCCGGTGTCCACCAGGTCTCCGGTAACTTCGGCAACTTCGTCCCTCGAGGCGAAAAGTATCTTCTCATCGCGAACAGTATCACTGAGGAGCAACCGATAATAATCGCGCCGAGCAAAAAAAAATCCATTTCAGCGATGAACCCTCTTGTAAGTAACAGAATGGACTGATCGCACCGTCGTGACACAGCTGATGATAAGTAGAAAGTACAGCTTATACAACGCAATACAACGTGTCACATGTGCGACTGCTACGGGTGCAACAGGAGTGCAACGACGTGTAGGACGTTACGGGCGCCGAGATATCGGAATCTCGCGGACGAGAGAGCACGTAGAGATCGAACAATCGGATTTTGCGCGACTCACTTGCACGCGGTAGATTTGAAAAGCGCTACAATTCAATTCGAGGCCCGCGAGAAAACTTTTGGGCAAGGACGTGCACACATGCACACATGCGCGGGAAATTTCTCGGTTGGCGCGTTGCGAGAAGTTTTCAAGTTTTACAGTCGAATTTCGTCGTTTGCCGAGCACCGAAGACGGTTATTCCTCGCCCGATCGATTTATTTGTTCTGTACGAAATTTCTAACGGAAATTTCGATTGACGAAAAGCCGTCGAAGAACGATCGAAGCGTATGTACGTTAAAACTGTGATCGAAGAGATTTTAAAGGAAGGGGGACCCTTAAGCATCCGCGCCAGGCACTCGACTGTCATTGTGCGCGGCGCACATGCGCGAGAGACCGCGTTTATCGCCACTTCCACGCGCGCAACGCAACGTGACTTGCGTGTACGTATGTACTGAGTATTTCCCATTTGATGTTGACCGGCAATAAATTGGAAAGTTACCGCGGAGAGAAAGTAGAAAAAAAGAAGTCCGGAATCTCTCGCCCGTTGTAAAATCAATCAATCAATTAATGTACGGCGCAAATGTAAATAAAAATTTTGCTGATTCAACAGCCATTTCAAATTCAATTTTGCATCGAAGTGCCATATTTATTGAAAGTAACACGAAATTGCTCAATTAATACAATTGAAGGTAGTTGTGTTAACTATAGAAATGGAATATTAAATTGCATATACACCGGGCCTATTTTGAAAATTCGATTTGTTGTCAAAGACAGTGGCTGCGGTCCACTTGAATACAAAAATGCTTCAAAGCATTCCTCTTCTCCTTCTTTCTTCATTGAAAGAAAAAGAGAAGAGGAATGCTTCGAAGCATTTGTAGCGCCAAGTGGGCCACAGCCAGTGTCTCGTGTAAAAAATGCCACGTCAACATTGTTTATTTTTCTCCTTTATACTTTTTATACTTTATACGCGCTCTTTGCTGTACATTTATTTATAAAATATACTTGAAAATCTATAATCTTTCTCATTTGTTTTTGCTCTCGCGATAAGAAATAAGTTTTAAAACAAGTGTTTCTTTTTTTTCTTCATCTCGGTAAACGTCGTCACGATTTAGGATGTACAGTTCCGTTAAGGCCATTGCACGTAACAACGTTTTAGTCATAATCGTAAGGCCATAAGAAAATAGACTCAAATCAACAATCACACTCGATTATTCTTCGAGCTCAAGGAGAATAATCGACTGTGATTGGTCTATTTTCTTACGGTCTTACGATTATGACTAAAACTTTGTTACGTGCAATGGCCTTTAGATTTAGCGGAATCCTGACCTGAGGACCGAGCAAAGAGTATAATGTTGACGCACAGCTGCGCTGTATTTACACGGCGTTACAGCCTCTTTTAAGACTGCGTTCGGGAAGCGCGCTATTAGCGCTATTGCAGCAATCTATCTTTATCGCTCATCAGGTGTAAAACAAGGATAAAATAAGCAAATAGCACTAATAGCGTCTTCCCGAACGCACCTGCTTAAGCGTGTCCCGGAATTGTTGTCCCCCGGAATACCGATGAAAGTGACTTTCTTTCTTATATACTTTCTCGCTTCCAACAGCATCTTACGTTTCGTACACGAGAGATCAGTTTCCTGCCGTCTGTCGCGCGTTTCAAACCTACCGTGTCTCCCGTTAATTTACCTACTTATACGAGGATCATTACGTTTGATCAATATACATATATGTACTCGTATAAAAATAATACTGTAAAATAGTGAAAAAAAATATGTTATCATTGTAAGTTATTTCGTAACAAGCACGACGTAGAAAATCTTTAAGAAATGGGAATTTTTGCACGACCGGTTCTGGAGATTTCGGATTCCCCGAAAGAGGTGATATACATCGAGATAAAAAATTGCTGTGTATGGAAGAAAGTATTCGAAGAATATAATGACGATGGGGGACGTATTTTCGATCGCAGATGCAGAGAACAGCGACCAACGTGTTGGCTCAAGCGCATCATGTATCCAGAATGAAACGGGGACAAGCGATCGGCTCCGTTCGAGGATTTCGCGGATGTACATTGTGGATGACGGGGCTTTCTGGTGCCGGGAAGACCTCCATCTCCTTTCAGCTTGAGGAATATCTCGTCTCTCAGGTATATATACATTTACGACACGATCACTCGACTCGTGTTGCTCTACATTCACGCGGCATTTATTCGATATTATTATTTTTGGAAACAGGGAATTCCCGCGTACAGCTTGGACGGTGACAACATGCGCACTGGTCTGAACCGTAATCTCGGCTTCAGCAAAGAAGATCGCGAGGAGAATGTACGTCGTGTTGCCGAGGTTGCGAGACTCTTCGCGGATGCTGGCATTGTTGCCCTCTGCAGCTTCGTGTCGCCGTTCGCGGAGGACCGGAAAATAGCACGGGAAATTCACGAAAACGCCAATCTGCCCTTCTACGAGATATTCGTCGACGCGTCCCTCCAGGTCTGCGAGGCCCGCGACGTCAAAGGGCTCTATAAGAAAGCACGTCAGGGTATTATTAAGGGTTTCACCGGTATCGATCAAAATTATGATGTACCTACCGAACCCGATCTCATCGTCAACACGGAGAACGCGACTGTTCAACAATCCACCGATGTCGTCATTAACTTTCTTCAGCGCAAAAAAATTATACCCAAGATATGCGAACTTGAGCAACCTTTTCTGGAATTATTTGTGAAAGAGGATAGATTGGACGATGTCCGGAAAGAAATGAAAACTCTTCCAACTTTGGAAATTGGTAAGATAGATGTGCAATGGTTGCAAGTTCTCGCTGAAGGATGGGCGGCGCCGTTGAAAGGATTTATGAGGGAGAACGAGTATCTTCAAGTAAGTTTAAACCTGTTCCATGCATAGCTTACAAACTTATGTAAAAAGTATTACATATATAAGTAACGATTCCATGTATTAAATACTTTTTTTTTTTTTAATAGGTGCAGCATTTCAATTGCCTATTGTATGAAAACGGTGTCCCAATCAACCAATCAATTCCCATTGTTCTTGCCGTGAGCACCGCTGATAAAGAGCGCTGTTTCGACGCGGCTGCGCTCGTCCTCAGATATCAGGACAAAGATCTCGCCGTTTTACGCAATCCCGAATTTTATCTCCATCGCAAGGAAGAACGTTGCTGCCGTCAATTCGGCACAAATAATCCCGGACATCCTTACGTCAAATTAATCCGAGACTCTGGTGACTGGTTGGTCGGCGGGGATTTGGAAGTGCTCGAAAGGATTAAGTGGAACGATGGGCTGGACCATTACAGACTGACGCCTAACGAGATCAGGATCAAGTGTCGGGAGATTGGCGCCGACGCGGTGTTTGCTTTCCAACTGCGAAATCCAATACACAACGGACACGCGTTGCTAATGCAGGTACCGTGCTGACGCTGTGCGAAATTTTCCGCGCAAACGGCAAATGCTCGTTCGTTACTTCTACATCTCGTTGTATCTCAGGATACCAGGAAACGTCTCGAAGGGTATGGCTACGAGAAACCAGTTCTTCTTCTTCATCCCTTAGGTGGGTGGACTAAAGATGACGACGTTCCCCTATCGGTCAGAATACAGCAGCACGAGGCTGTCCTCGAGGAGGGTGTCTTGCACGAGGATACTATACTCGCTATCTTCCCTAGCCCTATGTGCTACGCCGGCCCCACAGAAGTACATTTCTTCTTAACATTTTGTTAAACAATGCACGTTACGTGCCAATACCTGAAATATGTAAAGATTATTAATACCCAACTTGAAAAATATTGAGCCGCTAATTTGTATCCTTTAGGTACAATGGCATGCCAAAGCTCGTATGATCGCAGGAGCAAATTTCTATATTGTCGGACGAGATCCTGCCGGCGTCCCTCATCCTGATAAATCCGCCACGACAGACGGCAATCTCTACGATGCTACTCACGGCGCGCGAGTCCTTTCACTGGCGCCAGGTTTGCAGAATCTCGAAATTATTCCTTTTAGAGTAGCTGCTTATGACATGAAAACGAAGAAAATGTCTTTCTTCGAAGCTGAACGACAACAAGATTTTATTTTCATTTCCGGTACCAAAATGCGCAGTAAGTTTCTATTCTGTTTTCATTTTTCTTATCCGTTAGTTCGAATAATAGGATAAAATTATTTATCTTTTGTATTTCTACAAGATTTATAAAAATATTATGTCTATGTTAGATTTGGCAAAAAATGGCGAAGATCCTCCCGAAGGTTTCATGGCACCGAAAGCGTGGAAAATTGTTATGAAATATTACCAAACTGCACTTACGTAATTAAAAAGCGGACAGAATAAATAATTATTGTTTATGTATAGCTTTACATAACTGACATTGATATTGTATAAAATATTGTAAATTTTAATAACACGCGCGCGGACAGTAAATAATATAATGAAATAAAGTATATAGGTATTATATAGGTAAACTATGGAACTGCAAAAATAATGAAACAAATTATGCATTTTCTTCTAGTCTATTATCTCTGGTATATCTTTATTTATTGCATCGAATGACACGGAAGGACATTTTGTAACTTAAATATATTCGACAATCAATCGAAAGTTGCCGATAGAAAATATTCTGCCATTTAATCCGGTATATCTGCAATATAATATCCCACTGTTCTTAACTTTGCCTTGTACGTTTTATTATGAAAAATAAATGAAAAATAAAATGAAAAATACATTTGCTTGAGCAAACTAGATAATAAAAGATAATATCGTATGCGCTTTACCTTCTTCTTCAGAGTCGGATATTCGGGTAGCCTGAAGCGAGCTTTGTTTCGTTAACGTCCGGACTAGGCCACGTGGTCTTGGCGGCGGCGATTGTTTGTTCCAAAGTGCCTCCAATTGATCAAAATGTTGAGATTGTGCTAAAGCGGCCTGCTCAGGACCTAGGCCAGGTTGAGAACCGGCTAAACCTGCTTGACTGATCTCTTCCATCGACGCGCTCACGCTAAAACGACGTTTCAATCGTTCCTCGATAGTTGAGACTACGATACCTGAAGATAAATGCAAGGAATGTTAAGCTAAATCCTTATTTATATCTTACAAAAACATGCTTAGAAAATCGATTACGATTTCCAATAATTAGAATTATATAAAAAAGGATAACCTGATGTAAGATGCCCGTATTTTCGCTGCCAGGTATAAGTATCTAAAGACACCTCTTTCTTCAACAATCTCTTGGCGGGTCGCTTTGGTCCTGGCGGTCTCAGGTCTCGCGGCGCCACGTATGGCGGCAATTTGACGTATTGCGCGGGAGTATTATGCAGGCATAGAATAGGCATACACTTGTGCTCCAATAAATGTACTGCCATCCTGGAGCAATCGGTAGACATTTCAACTCCTAAAACCGGTACGTGTAGCATGATGGAACTGAGCGGAGTGCCCTTTTTGGTATCCCAGACGATTAGGCTTTTGTCCTCGCTTCCGGAAGCAGCCAGAGTTCCGTCGCCGGAGAGACGCACGCAGGTCACGTAGCCCAGATGGCCCACTAGAGTATGCAAGTCGGCACCGGTGTTGATATCCCAGACGATCAAATTGGCGTCCCTGGATCCGGAAACTACTATAGACTTGTCGACCACTGCGACTGCTACGCAAGTCACATGGTCGGTGTGACCGACCAATACTTGGGAGAGTTTACCGCCGGCCAGTTGCCATACTTTCAGGCTCATATCGCGGGAGCCGGTGATCAGGTACTGGGAATCCGGCGTTGCTACCAGACACGTGATGTCCTGCGAGTGTGACACCTGATGCTTCTCTTCGGGCCCGGCGCCCAGACTGATTATGCGCACCTGGTTATCGCCAGATCCGCATACCGCGTATCTGAAGTGCGAAGAGTGAATGGGAGAGCCCGATAAAGAATATTTGGTACAGAATAGTTCGTACAATTTGCTACAAATCTTGTTTCCTCACCTCATGTCGGACGCAACGGCGAAACATCGTCCAGGTCCGCAAACAGACTGAATTAGCGTACCACTGTCTGCTGCCCAGACCCTGATAGAGCCAGCACGGTCTGAACTGACCACTCTTCTACCATCCAGCATAGCGGTAACAGCAGTTACCGGCGCCTGGTGCCTGAATGTAGCCACGACAAGTCCCAGAGTTAAACCCCACACGCGTACTGTCTTGTCCTCGGATCCTAAAGAATTTACGCACTTAATCCAAATACGTTAACAGCGAATAGGTCGATTCGCAGAAAAAAAAAATATTTTATAAAAGCCTGTACCAGATGCGACAAAGAGTCCTGACGCGGAAAATGCAATGCAAGTAATGCTGGCGATATGCCCTTCCAGGGTGGATAACAATTCGTGAGTGTTGAGCTGCCATAAATTGACTAAAGAATCGACACCACCGGTGACCGCCATAGCGCCATCCCTGGAGATATCCAAGCAGGATATCGGTGCGGTATGGGGTTGCAGAGTATCCTGTTTCCCGGGTTTCTGCGGTTTCGGCGGTGGTTCTTCACCGCGAAAGCTCCAGTACGTCACGCGACCACCTCCGCCAGTTATCAGAAAATCATCTTTTTCAGTCACCTGCAAAAAATAAAAATAAAAATAGCGTGATTTAAATAGAGATAACAAGAAAGACGTATTGAAATTTAAAGATAAAAATTAAAGAGAAAAAATTAATGTTGAAAATACCGCGATTTTGCGTTTAATTACCTTAACCGAAGTAACGTTTGCCGATGGATTAGCGGGCAGAGTCCTGATCAATTTTCCACTATGCATATCAAATACGGATACTCTGCCTTCGACACCGCCAGCGATAGCTCTTCTACAATCTTTCGCCAGACAGAGACTCTTAACTGGTCCTTGATGCCCCCTAAGCGTGTGGATCTCCGTGCCTGTTGCCAAGGATCTTAGATAGAGCTTCTGATCTTCGCAAGCGGCTAGAAGAAAGACTGAATCTGCAGACACATCCAGCATGACTACCGGAGAAGGTAGAGCAATACTGTTGAGAAGACTAAAGCTTTCCAAAGACCAAAGACACACAGTCCCGTCGACTGAACCAGAAACCAAGACTTCTCCAGCGGAATCGACTCGAATAGTGGTGACGGGACCTCGATGATGGTCAACCTTCATCAGGACTTCGCCAGTGAGCAGGCTCGTAGCGATAATTCTGGAATCTTCACCGCCGCTCACGATAACGGAGTTGTTCAGCGCCGTAGTTAAAGTGAGGATCGGTGCGATATGCTCGCAAATTCGGCGTTTCATAACGAGATCCTTCATGTCCCAGACGATAATGGAGGTGTCCTCGGAGCCGGTCAGAAGATACTGCGATTGATGGGTGACGGCTAAACACGAGATTGGACTGGAGTGTCCTGGTACGAGAAAAAAATTATTTATGATCATTAATGAAAACATACTCGGGAAATCCGGAATAGAGAAAGAAATAATATTGTTATAATGCAATTTGTGATTATAACTATACTTTTCTCTTTACCTTTGAATGTATGAACAAGCTGACCGGACATCACGTGCCATAGCTGAGCATCCCCCTGCGGTGGCACGACGACCACGTGCTGACCAGACGGTGCCGCTTCGATCAATTTAACTCCCTGAGGACATGTAATCGCCCGGATCTGCAGTGGCAGAGGCGGTTGTAGCCATCCGTTCAAGGGCACGAGCAAAGGCGCGGTGTAACCGTCGCACCAAGCCATAGCGGCCATGACCATTCTACTGACCTTGATAAAGAGAGACCGAGTAAGCCTTTCCAATTTATTAATAGTCTCCAATAATCTCCTTATTAAAGTAAAAAAAAAAATAAAAAAGACTTACGAGGTCACCGCCGTCCTCGGCGACCGGCCTTAACCAGCAGATGAGCTGCGCAGCGAGCTGAAGAGGATCTCTGGTAAGGACATCGCTGGATTTTCTCACGGCATAATACACGAGCTCCAAGTCGCGCTCGAGGAGATATCGTCTGGCATGTTCGAGGACGCATCGTAGATAGCTCACGGAGATCGTCTGGGCACTCGCAAGAAGAAAGTCAAACGCGCAGACGGCGAGTTTCTTCAGCTTGTCAACGTCGGAAGCGCGCAGAAGATGTAACCACGCTTCTTCGACGTGTCGAAGTGTGTACGTGATATCCTGCGTTTGCGGCGTTTGTGTTTGAAACGGCGTTTCCTTGATGGGAGGCGAAGAAGGTGGATTCTCCGGTGATTTGTCGGAATTATCGTCGGCGTCTTCGGAGAAGAAGAGTCCGGCCAACTCCGCGTGGTAACCGCGAGAAACGTCCTGATTGGAGAGATACTTTCTGAGTGCGACTTCGCGACATTGGCCGCGCCAGGAAAACATTAATCGACCGCTCATCACTCGTACCTGAAATAATATTTTGTAAAATAATAATTTAATAATACGTCAATGTAGGATAAATGTGGTGTTAAAGCGACTATATCCATATCGATCCCATAATCTACTTACTTTGAGCCACGGTGCAAGCGTCCTCCTGACCAAGCACCAGGTCGCAAAGTTAAATTGACTCTCCTTCAAGAGCAAAGGTCCCTCTCCACCGGTAGGCATAATTAATTCGAGTATTTCTGTCTCCGACAAGCCGTACTCGGTGCAAGCGAGAATCGAGGCAATCCGATTAGCCGCATCGAGTCCGACGAGCTCCTCCAAACGCTCAAAAACCACGTCGACGCCTGACGTCGCGCACACACGTCCAGAGAGATCAACGAGAATGTCGGGGCTACGTAGATGTTCCTTTTGAATTGGCGTGAGGCGCATTTTCTCAGGCGGGAACGCGGAAGTGACGACAAAGTGAACACCAGGAGGAAGAGTGAACGGTAGCCAAGACAGGGCGGCGACGATATCACACTCGAGCGGATGAAAACGATGAAGATCGTCGAGAAGAATAATTAATTGGTCCGAAAGGGGATGTTCCTCTAAGCGGCGTATAATGAGACTGAACCAATTGTTGAGGTAGAGTGGGTCGAAGGAGGCATCTCGTGGTAGATTACCGTCGTTATCGCCGCAAAGAAAGCCGACGTGCTGGCAGAGGATGCGGAGGAGCTCCAGGCTATAGGCGGATCGAGGTGTTGAAGTGCACAGTCGGACGACACGAAGCGTCGGCGTCGAAAGCCAGTCGGGCGAATCTCGGTAGACGCGCGCAAGGATAGAGGATTTTCCAGAGGATTTGGGTCCATAGATTAGAATCGGCCCGTGCTTCTGCTCCTTGCCTGAAGATTTACACACGATTCAATTGTATAACATATTCCTACGCTGTTGTACCATCCTGTATATGTAAAGAATGCAAGAAACCTGCAAGGATAAGTTGTTTAACTCGCTCCACGGCCTCGTCAGCCTCGTCGGCCAACGGTAATTCTCGAAGAAGAGCGAAATGCGCCATACTCTCAGCGTAGACTTCCTGAACCATTTTCTTGCGACTTTTAATTTCCGGATCAGCCTCGACGGACGCGTTCACCAGTTGCTGAATCCTGTCCAATATCAAGTCCCGAAACTTTCCAAGATATTCGTCGTGAGCGTCATAGTCGGCATCGATACCGCCGTTACGGTGCTCCACGTAAAAACTCAGAACATTTTCATGGGGTAAGGTAGCCTGGATACGGGACTTGAGCCCCTCGGCCGCCGTACACCTTGATGCATCGTCGTTCGTCCACTCGCGAATCACGGCCATTATTCCCAAGCCCTGCTGATCTAGATCTGATAAGAGCGTTCCAACGATTATACCGATGAATTATTAGCGCTCTTCTGTACATGCCGCACTGCACTTATATCTATAATCCAATATATCCACATGTATATCTATATATTTGGCTAGCATTAAATAAATACGTCTTTAAAGCTCATTTTAAAATCCTTTTATTGCATCTAAGGGAATTCAGAGATAAAATAATTTCTCGTATCGAGATTTTGATCGCTATATGTTGAAAGATTGGTAATAAATTATTAATCAGCGGGACGACTAAAAATAGCTCGAGCACCAATTAAATTTTCTGGCTGGAAAACGAATTACTGCGACATTAGACGTGGCACAAAGCGGCTTCAATTTCCAAGCTTTCACGTAAAAGCCTCTTATAACGTGAAACGCAATGGGTGTGCGAGCTCTCTTTCGCGAACAGTCGTCGCGAACGTTTGACGGAGAATAATTTAAACGGCACACGATACTTGACCTAGAAGGTCAGGATCTTCTATTTTTGGAGGAGAAAGCTCGATAAGTCCACAATTTCATTCGTGAAATATGACATGCCACTGGCGTGCCGTCGCACGAGAGTTGATCAAATATTGACAGGCGTCAGAGTGGCGGTCGATCCCGATCGGCGTGTCCGGTTATTTATTTACGGTCTTTCAAAAATATGACGTGTCCACAATATATACGGAATAAAATATGCCGGAATATCAGCGGCTTAGAATCGCCTCGTTCGCGGACAATTCTAATATCTCGCAGAGATTATCGGCAAATAACTCCGCTATACTCACTTAGGCCGTAGTCCAGCTGTCGTTCCGCCGTACTCTTCAGGACGTATTTCAAATCCTGGTTCTCCGGCTGCTCCGCGATCGCGCGTTCCGCGGCGGTCCTCAGCAGCTGACGCAGATTCAGCTCTTGATCAATTTGCCATTCCCGCTGAGCGGTCTGCACGCTGTTCACACACGCAACTTATGATGACTCAAGAAAAACGGAGATACGCTGAGGAAAGGGGGGAAAGTATTGAAGGATAGATTTCTAAACATATCAGCGTTACCTATTTGCATTCAAAACATAAGAGTGCCCATTGTGCTCGTAATGATCTTTAAGAAGAGCGCAGTGCGCGAGAAGCGTTCGGTAGGTAGCCTCTTTCAATTCCGTTGGTACCCACCCTACGGTATAATTTGTTCCCGTCAACAGCTGAAAAGGATAACAAATGGAGAAACGAGTCACTTCTCTGCATCTCGAGCGTGTACCGGAAGTGTGTAGAAGAAGAGTAAGAAAAGAGAGCGATGCTCGACGCGACTGAGAATGGCGAGAGAAATACGCGGCGCGAAATGAAGCTACGCGAGCGCGTCGAGAGCGCGATGCGGGGCGGTATACGGCATAATCGTTGGTGGTCAGAGCACCCCCGGTGGAATACTTTAGCGAGACACGCATGCCAGACCGTCGCATATATACATAATTCTTAATTCCACGCGGCAATGAAAGATAAATGTAGCGCCGATCGATATATAACGCCGTAACGTCGTAGCGTAGTTTCCTTACCAGGAGGAAACATCCCCTGGAATGTCGGTGGGACGCGCTTATCTCCTCCAGGAAGTATTCCGCCAGGTGCGGATCGACGTCCGGGTCGTCGCCGGACCCGTACTGCATGTCCACCAGGAGCACCTGCGGCAGGACGAAGCGGCATAATCCCACGAGCTTGATGATATTGGCCGAGCGGATTTGAACGTCAAAGTAAATGTAAATTGCTTTGCACTGACCTCGATTCCCATATCGTCGTAAATTGATTGCAGCTCCGGCCCGACCACCTCCAGCAGCTGTTTGCGCTCCTCCGGGAAGTCTAGCCGGCAAAATTGCCGAATTTAATTCCGCGTTAATAGAAACTCTCTCTCTCTCTCTCTCTCTACTCTCTCTACTCTATTCGCAATTTCTCTACGCCTACGTGTTGCCTCACGTGCGCGTGACGTTACCGAGATTGAATTCCGCTTATTATACGGAATATAACGAGATATACACGGGCAATCCGCTATAGATCCTATCGAGCCCGAAGAGAATTGCGAACGTTCAGCAAGACGCGCGTTTATCCCGTTCATCGAAGCTAAAGCTTCCCGTCCCACGAGATTCGCGGAAATCCCGAGACGCGCAATCCAGACTTACCGTCCCTCTCGCCGGCGATGAATATCTTGATGAGCCTCGGCGCCGGCAGATTAGCGGGGGGCGGGCCGCCTTTGATGACCCCCGCGATCAACTCCACCTCGAGATTCATCCTTGCGGGATTTCGCGAGCTCGCGCAACGGCGTTTTTAGGCGACGACCATCGCGGGATCCTTTGGTTTCCAAAGCTGAGACGTCATTCCACCTTCGAAATATCTTTCTCGCAACGTTTATATCGCTCGATATCGCCAACTGGTCTCCTTAGAAACTTGAATTCTTCTTAAGAACACTACTACATATATAATATATATATATATATTTTTCTCTCTTCAAATTTATTTCATTCCCTGTAGAGAATCTATATCCTTAAATTCATAAAATCTTTCTTCTCTCGGACGTTTGGGATTACAAAGCTCACCCGATTGCCGCCTCGTCGTCGTAGGTACGTGTGTGGGATCTCGTGCAGCCTCCCTCGGACTCGCGTGGACCTTCCAATATCGTTAGGACATTAAATCTCCCGAGATCTCTCGAATCTCTTCGGACCTCCGGCGTCTATCTCGAGTTCAATATATAGGGTATAATCGTCGAATCTTTTTGATCCCACTTGCGTTCTCCGATCCTTCGGTTATTGCCCGCTCAAGGTACTCGTGTTATTTCGATATATATATATACTTGATCGATCCGGCGATCAGTAGGTCAATATATATAATATACAATGATCGACGCTCAACAAATGATATAGAGATTGTGATTCTTTCTTTTTTTGATCAATACTTTTAAATGTATATATAATCTGTGTATATATATATATGCTCTTACATGTACATATATCTATGTATCTACTTATGTCTTAATTCGGTGACTACCTAAACAACTACGATTGTCTTCGCCTGCGGAACGCAGCGAGCGTTACATCGATCCGTGAATCGCGACGGTTAGGCGGCGCCCAAGCGCGCCTGCGACTCCATTCATTACATCGATCGCCCAAGCGACATAGATCGATCTATCACGATCTCGATCGCGATATCCTTCTCCTCCTCCTCCTCCCCCACTGCTCAGTCAGTTTGTACTTGTCCCGAGCGTGCTCATTGGTCGTTGCTCGCTAAGCCGCGGTGTGGGCGGCGGGGGAGGGTGAATATGTTGCGAAGTTGGCGGGCTTGAGGGTGGTGGAGGTGTTCAAGGCCCTGTTATGCCGCCCTCTTACGTTCCCATTTTACGCCGGGGGTGAGGACCCTCTGCAAAAGGAAAACGGAAACGCGGATTTCACCGTGGGGGTTGAATTCCATCGCGTACGTCGCGGGACCGTGGTCGGGGGTCGCTATAGATCCTCCTCGCGCACCGTCGCGCGCGCGAAGAGACAGAGAGTGAGCGACGAGGGTTTCGGGGGAAGGAGGGGGCGATGGGGACGCGACGTGTACCACCACCCCCGTCGCGCACGGCGGGGTGGCTGAGAGAGCTCCGGCGACTTTCGCGCGCGAGCGCGCGAGCGAGAAACGAGACGAATCGCACGGAATCGATCGGGCGTTCTCCTGCCGTCGAATTCGGGCCGCGCGTGCCCGCGCGCGCTTTTTACGCACGGAGCGTTTCGCTCGATGCGTATCGATCTCTCTCTCTCCTCTCCTCTCTCTCTCTCTCTCTCTCTCACCCTCTTTTCTTCGACCCACGCGTTCGCGAGAGGCTGCTAGCTCGTCGACGAACGGACCGAAAATTTATGTGTTTACATACGTTTTGAGACGTAATAGGTACGTCAAGCAGATGCGCGCGTAGGAGACGCTGTCGCAAGAGCTCGGAGCTCGGCGGTGAACTTTTGACCCGCCCCAACACGTGGCGGAACGCGGAACAACCCGCCGCCCGCGGCGGCCGCTATTGTTTTTCCAGGGGCGGGCTGCTCTCAATACCTCGAGGAGAGTCGCGTCGGAAACCCGTCGAAACGCTCGAGAATAGAATTCAGTCGCGAGATAAGAGCACGAAGCAACAGTGTGCCCCAGCACGCGGGCGCGCGTCTCGAGTCGCGAGACCGAGTTGATTGAATCCAGAAATATCCTCGACAGGGTGAGGAGGGGCTGTTTGAGTCGGTTAAAGGGAAGAAAATCGGATACCAAATTTTCAAGACAAAAAGCCAAAAAGCTAAAAAGTCCCGTGACTAAAAAAAGCTCCTCCCTATCTCTTGAACATGTTTCATCCAATTTTTTTCTTTAACCGACTCAAACAGCCCCGCCTTACCCTAATTAATAGAGATCGTTAATAATTACAGGAATCCGACGCGCCGAGACAACCATTAACCGGGCAAGGACGGGAGAGAAAGAGGGAGAGATCGCACAGCGTGCGAAATGGATTCCCACCCCAACGTCCGCCGGAAAGGTTGAACGCATATTGTACGTCGCGAGGGTGAAGGGTGCCGGTTTGTGAAGATGATGTTGACGCGCGCAATTCAGGCGCGATTTTATTTTGTAGATGCAATATTTGGATCTCCAGGGAGAACGACGTGAAAGCGGGAGGACCGTTGCCGTACGTTCGGCAAATGTTTGCCGTCCCGGGCACTCGATGGACACGGCAAACATGCTTCACGCCGCCGAGTATGTCGAGTGCAATTATCGCGTCGTCATTAGGTCAACCGTGCGAAACGGCTTGCCGAAAGAGAAAGAGAGAGAAACCATCTGTTATTCCGGACGCCCTGGACCGCGCGCGCGAGTCGACGGAATTAATTGCCGAAGGTTTTGGAAAGGATCTCTCGGTACCCCACGAGAGATACTTAGCGAAACCGAGGGTTGCGCAGAGGGGTGCTAATCGAACCGAAAACGACCGTGGGGATGTCATACCGTTTTTACCTAAAATAGAGAGGAGAATAATATCCGCGGAAGGAAACGACAGGGCGATAAAAATAGAAGAGCACCATCTCCTAGAGGATTGTCGCTAAACATAGTCCTAACCGGAGCTGACCAATTAACCTTCCGCCAACGCTCGCGAACCACATCCCGTATTTGTTTACAAAGTTTTAACCCTGCAGAATATCTGAAGCGTGGTATAGAATTTTCCTCGGCAAATGTCATTTGCAATTATAATAGTTTCCTTTTCTGAAAAGAGATGTAAATTTCAATTCGTCGACCGGCAAAATCATTCAAATGCAGAAAAGAATTTGAAAAGGAGCATGTAAATTCGACGTAGGCAAATAATATTTGAGCTATTTAATAATTTTCGAATATTCCGCATCTCTCTGATTATTTGGACACCCTCGCGTGCGCGATAATTGCCTCCATCTTTCGCCGAATTAATTTGCGTCTGCTATGTACTTAGACGGGATCGTATATCTGCAGACACATAACTCGGATATATTTCAGCTGATAAATCGAGTCACGTCTCCGTTGATTATCGGCAAGATGCATCGTTAAATCGGGAAATACGAGCGCCGTTTCCCGAAATATAAATTTATTAAACATAAGACGTCACGCTCCTTCCCCCTCCCCCCCGAAATCCTATTCTTCCTCCCTTTCCGCTTTCCCCTTCCACTGGCGTTCTATTTGAATCTCGGCGAAAATTCCATTCTACGTTTTATCAGCCCACGATCGACCGTCACAACGAGAGGCTGCCGCCACCCGCGGAGGATGCCACGGAGAAGGGATGAAAAAATCGCGGTGCGGATCTCGCGTCGTCCGCCCGGTCGATGCGGGGCTCGCAAAAAAAAAAAAAAGGGGAGGGGATCCAGTCAAAACAAGGCTTACCAGGTCGTCGAGCAGCTATTGTGACGAAGGTCTTCACCTGCTCGCGCGGACGACGGCACCACTACTGATAACGCAGTCAAGCGGCCGACGCCTCCGGAGCGCCGAACGCCCGGCGCCGACGCCGTCGCCTCCAACGTCGACGTCGACGCCGACGATGACGACGACAACGCCGACGCCGACGCCGATATCGCCGAACTAGAGTAGGGGTAGTTACGATACATCCATGTTATCTACGACACAGATTTGCATCTATTATAATACCTAATACTTTCTGTATATATACATGGATATCCCTATACATATATAAGATCAAAATGAAACAACGATCTTGTTTTAGGATAAAAGTTTTGGGGAAACTCTCTTCGACTTTGTTAATCCGAAGTTAAGTGGATAGCGGACTAAAGATCGGAGGCATTCTTGTAATATACAGTTGATAGTTTATAAAAATCGAATGATATACACGGGTAGAGGATCATTAAAGAATGTAACAACGAATGTACAATTATTTCCCGTATAATTATATATATGTATTTATATATATAATTATTAAATAATAGACTAAATCGTCACACGCTGTTTTTGCCTTCGGCGGATCGTAAAATGGTGAGAAAAGAATAACGCCGGAGACTCCGTTTGGCAGCATGACAAAGTACGAGTACTATGATTATTTTACAATATTCATTTGTTTATTTCTTATATAACACTTGCCAGTGCTATTGTTCATCATTATTTATTTTGTTATAGAGTCCTTTATAGGCGAGTTTTTGCCCGCCCCGACGATCGATTCGTATTTTACATTGGCGCGAAATCGTTCTCCGTCTTTTCCCCCTATATATTTTTTTTTACAATTAGTTATTTAGTTAATTCAATTGCAACAATATTTTAATTGCAATGTTCGTCGACCGTTCGAGAAATTGGCGTTACGACTTCGCTCATCACAAAGTCCAATTTTACAATGTGAATTAACAACATGTCACCGTTTAAGGAATGACATAGCGACTGATAATATAATTTTTCACGAGTTTTTCTACTACCCCCTTCCCGTTTGTATTTTATTGCCTGCAGGTGATTAAATTACAAGAGCGCATTGCTTATCACCGTGAAACATCTTTGTTTGGCGACACCCACAATCTGCAAGCATCTTCATTTATTATTATTTATACTGAAAATGCAAAATTGCACTTATTTAATTTCCTTTCTATTGCATGTAATTATTTGTAACTAATATTTTTCAGGATATTTTTGAAGATGGTATTTCTTTTTTAAGGTAAGAACACTTGCGTATTGCGACAATACCGATACTCCGATACAGAGATTAAAAGAATGCGGAATACGAAAACGTAGTTACAAAAAAAAAAAGAAATTATACAAACATCATCAAAAATAGTCTATTTCCTCTATTTTAAATGTTTTCCTCTAAACTAAGATTTTCTCTCTCTTCTTGCGTCGCTCTCTCACTACTTATATATACCACGTAATCATGAATAGATAAGAGCGAGTGAAAGGCAGCGAGCAATGGCATTTCCACTCATATGTGCCACTAGATTAAGAGAGGAAAATCTTAGAATAAATGAAACGATCGATTCCAACAATTGTAGGATAGAGGAAAACGACTGTGACCATCATGCTGATGCTATTTAACGAATTACCGCTATTGTGAAAAAGATTTTCCTACTGAACAAATAAATCTCATGGATTAAAATTGTCATAGGTATAACACAAAATCGTAAAAAAATTAGATATTTACTGGACGAAAAGAAATTGCTTAACCCAAGTGGATACGCGCAACGAGAACGCAAGTCCATATGTTGAGGCTACCGATGGTAAATAATTAATAATAATAATAATAATAATATTAATAATTACAATCTATCATGTTTAAATGCGTCAGTGTCTTTCGATAAGGCTGTCACTGCTGCATAAGTAGATGGCATATAAGTAGTAGATCTTGAATCACGTGACATGTCCCAAAATATCCCGAATGACCCATGATCGATTAATGAATTATAACAGATTGCGCAATTTTTCAACTGCGCGATTGTTTTATAATAGTTCCATAAACCGATGATTAACACCTCCCGGGCAGGAGTTGGTCTCACATACGAATTCCTTAACTTCGTCACTCCTTCACCTGTGTCTTGAGATGCTGCAAGAATTCGTAGTAACTAAGAGCAGATTCAAATCGATCTTCTATCAATCGCTCGATGAACAACGTCCTAAAGTGGCTATCGTCCCTGAAAAATAAATTTCTCGCATGTAAAATAAATCATGTTGTAGGATATCAGATACGCGCACCGCGAGATGATTCTACGAATTCTATTGAAACTTGTGACAACGTACATATTAATTTTCATTAATCAGAAACGATTCGCTTACCTGATAACTTGTACAGATACGTAGTATGGTTTCTCCTCTTGTAGGCTAAACACAAAGTTTCGTAACCGTTCGCTTTCTACTGTGTCCAATTCTGGTAATTCGTACTGCAACAACAAATTTACAGATTAGAAGATTATACATTCTTATCAGTGGATTAAACATTATAATATGTAAGCGTGCCGATTTTTGGCTAGGAATACGTAGTCGAGAAAAATAATATTCTTACCATTTCTTCTGGGATAGACGCGAACCCCGAAGTGCCAAACACGTTAGAACAGAAAACTGGATTGACGTTCTTGCCGACATAAATGAAGATTCTGTCGCCAGCATCCATAAGAAAGACTCCTCGGCTGTCGAGTTTCTCGGCAGATAAATTAAGCCGAGGCGGCTGTGGACACACTTTGCCGTCAATGTCCTTCGCATTATTGTCGTCGAGCACGTGAACGGGATACAAATCGGGATAAACCACCTGCATCAGCTGCGCCAACGGCAATGTTTTCAGTTGGAACATAGCGAATATGCGATCATCCAAACGTGTGTTCGTGCCAGATCTGAACGCTACCTGCAAGTTCAATATAAAATATTAATGATAGCATGCACAATATAATTAAGTGTGAGATGTTTGTAAATTTGATAGTTGAAAATTGATAACTTACGCTCTTCAACAATGCGATAATGTATAACGGCAACAGTTTTAAACTTTCTGGAGCAATAAGTCCTCCGCCGCTGGAAGATTGCGCCAGTTTGTATGCGGATAGGATGTCGATAGCGACGTTTATTAATGCATCTCTGGCGTCCGACAAAGATGATTGAAGGGATCGATCGACAGCTGAAGATATTTAAATAAATGTCTCTTTATTTCATTTAATTATGATTAACGCAAATAATTAATTGTTTAAACTTTTACGTTGCGGTACATAAGGATTTATAGTCCGCAAGTTTAACTTACCCATTTTTGATAATAAGCCGACTATGCATTGTTGATCTGCAGAATGCATAACATCCGTTAGACTTGCCACGACTGGCAGGCATAGAGTGTGTACTCTGATTCTTCGCTCACCTTTAAATAGAAATTATAGCAGATATGAAATACGTGAAGAAACTCTAAAAAAGACAGAAATAATTACCTTTGCTCGAAGTGTACAGAAGAGATGCTTGGAAGCATACGGTCTGTGTATCGGACAGATTTTCGTCGATGGAGATCTGCATGCCAAAACCAGCGTCCGGATTAATATTTGGCAAGCAGAGCAGATCGGTCGATCGAACGAAGAAGCTGCCATGGAAAGCGTGAATGCTGAGACCGCGGGTACAGCGAAGTCGCATCACCGCCTCAAAACCAATCTTTCTCGATAAATAACGATGTAGTAATCTTTCCAAAGTTTCAATATTCTGTAACTTGGATGCTCGAAACAGTGGCAGATGGTAAATGCAGCCACCCGTAAATTTTGACACGCATGCTGCGAAATAAATAAAAGATTGAACGTTACAAGAGTGTTTATCAATATTTTGGAAAAAAGACTGTATATAACCACGTATATCAAAAAAATTATGAATTATAAAAATTAATCTTTTGCAAAATTACAGTTTTAGCACAAAAGTATCATTTTTTTAACAACTATATTAAATCAATATAGAATCACTTACATAAAGTTGCCAGATCGCTGTATTGACTGTTCAATAAGAACAGATCAATCGCGATTTGTTGTCCACTGCAATCCAGAGCAATTCTTTTATAGAAGTCCGTTGCAGGATTGAGATGTGGCACATCTTTATTCACTCTGGTATTAGGATCTTCTCTCGGCTGCAGTGCCCCTGGACCGATATTAGGCAGACACGTTTGAAAAACAGTGACACGCCCTCCGGTAGCGGAAAGGAGTTTGAGGGCAGCTTGAAGACCGGCACCAAGGGCGCTGTTAGTATCATGGGTGCCGCAAAACTTGACGGGAAGCTGAGCAAGAAGGTCGCGGATCAGCTCTTCACGTTCCTTTAGATTTACAATTAGGTTTTCTGGACACGGCAGAAACACGTCGTCGATATCCAGCATAATCATTTCGTGTGGCTGCGAGACATTATCGGGCATGCTGAAGAAGTGCAGAGCAGAATCAACGGCGAGAAAACCGATTTGAGTGCGGCTGTCGCCGGGGAGACGCGACAGATCTTCGGTAATAATGTTACAAACGATCTGCAGATAGCCACTTTCCACCGCAAGACGAGAAACATCCATGACAAAGAGATAGACAGCCGGCTGAGGTGGACGGACCTATGATTAATTCAGTATTTATCAAAACTAAATCTCTTGGAGTATTACAAACAAGTATTTTTACGCAAACATATAATTTGTAATTATTAATAGGTGATTATACCACCTGATTTTATAGCTTATCGATTACTTATTTAGCGCAATATATTAAGCAGTAATTAGAAAAAATTATTAACCATATATTCGCTTGGTGCAATAAACTCTATCGTTCCGGTTCTGACTTCTGGCCGTCGCGATGGATCGCCGTAAGATTTCGTCACAGGATCGAAATGAAATTCTTCAGGAACTGCGTAACAAAGCGTAAATATATATATCAAACTCTTGTCATGTAATATTAAGCAATAGATATGAAAAAATTCAGCATGTTCATTACGTTCGTTCAATCTGAAACAGAGGTTGCACTTCCATCTCCTCGAATCGACGAAATATACAAACGGGTTGATATATGTTCGGCAAGCTCGACAACGCACGATCGTATTGCACTGAATCACTGCTAAATGCTGTTACGACAAATATTAAAAACTTTATTAAAATTTATTTCCAGATGGTATTTAAAAAAAATAAAATAGCAGCAACATGTTCTTCTATGTCTGCATATCAAAAATTATAAAAATTTATTTATGTGTATATCACTCACGTTTAGATCCTTAAAAGGATGTATTAATACGCCGAATGGCAATCTTGATTTCTGCAGAAGCGAATTTGATTCTGGGACTCTTGTTAATGTACACCTGAATATCCTGTAATTATTCCACATAATTCATGAGGCACTTCTATGTAATGAAATAGTTTTAGTAATAAGAATTCTCTAAATTGTTCAAATCTTTGATTCGCGTTGGTATTTTGGATACGTCGATTCTCGTGTAACAGAGATGTAATCTTCGCATCTTAAATAAAAAAAGGAGTAAGAAAAAAAACTCACTCAGGATTACAATTTACGACATCTAACATTTCCTGATGTAACTTGATCTTTGGTGGTTCGACTTTTTCAGGCGGCAGTATATTTCGGCACTGTAAGAGGTCTATCGACTCCACCCCCTATAAAGAATGTTATTAATTTACATATTGAAGAAAGTAACATATTTTGATTGCATATATAATTATAGATACTATTTCAATAAAAATAAATACCCATAATTTGTTGTAGCCAGTTTGTGTGACGTTCAAATTGCTCATCTGATTATTTAATTGATTTAATTGGTCAGGGTACATATTAGGATACCTTCTATTTGACGAGTCTAATGGAACATTTGTCATCGGGCCAGGATATTGCGAACGAGGATCATACTAAAAATAATATAAATCGAAATATTAAAATGCCACGTCACTTTTTGAAGAAAATATAAAAGATTAATTAAATAAAATTGAACTCTATTACACAAACGTTACATTCTTAGAGTCCATTACCGTTTGCTGTCCCGGAAGAGGAGGTATTCCTGATGGAGGTAATCTTACACCATGTAACTGATTACCTCCTGAAGGCGGTAGCATCGCGGTATTGGCAGTGTCTTGTTGCGGATATCTCCTCTGGCCAGTTAAATTTTGATGTACATTCTGACCTGGAGGAATACTTCCCAGTCCCGTGGGATCCATATAACCAGTAAGTAAATTTTGAGGTTTCAAAGGTTGAGTGCTATAATCTTGAGGATTTCGTGGACCTACATTATGGCCTTGTGCACTATAGAATAAATTCTGTGTGCTAGAATTTGGCATTGACGATGCATTGGATATATTCTGTTGAGTTCCATATCTGAGTTGCGAACTACTTAAGCTTTCGGAAGGACTAATTGTCGATTGTGCTTGGACGTTCTGAGTCCTTGGAGGTTGTGTACTGGAGCTCATTGGTTCTTGCTGTACATAACTGTTTTGATTTAAATGTTGAGTAATGTTCGAAGGAGGTAGATTAGCGTTGGATGCGGGTGGAGGGGTAGGATGCCCTTGATCGTATGTCACGATCTTATTTACTCTAGCAAAGGACGTCTGACTTTCCACAGTTTGATCTGTTGAGACTGGACTAGTCTTATCGATGCTACTGGACATTCCAGGAACGCCCATAGTACCCTGCGGAATGTTGGTAGGTGGAGGATTAGTCGCCCATTGATAACTTTGGTTCATTTTAGCTGGCTCTGGTTTAACAGTATCCGCAAACATTGATGGCGCGGACACTGGAGTCAGATTTTTTGCTACTGGAGGCATCTGATTCGAAGGAATCGTTGGTCGATGAATTTCTTGGCTAGGTTGAGACACAAAAGCAGTTGAAGGTGTACTGACTGCAACGTTCTGACGAGTAGTAGCGACATACTGGTTATGGGCACTATATAGATTTGCAGGACTATATGGTTGTGACGTTCTAGGTGGTGGAGGTAACACATTGGAGTTCTGAGGTCCGTTTATTGGTGGCATTGGCGGTCGTGGCAACTGAGGCCGATATTGGTTGTGAAGATATTGAGTTGGTGACGGATCTCTGGAGGTCTCCCTGGACGGGTCACGCGACGACTGCGACGACGACGTGCCTAAAAACACATTTTAATCGTTACAATTATAACAGTACACTTTTTAGACAAGATCACATTATCTTCAATAATTTTGAAATTTGATTCACTGATTCACATTTAAAGACTTCTAGCACTTTAAAATAAAATATGTGATCGTAACATCGACAGAATTCTCTTCAAATTTATTATCCACTTTTTACAGCACAAAATATAAAGTTTACATAATTTTCTTATGTTAGCTACTATTCGTTTTATTTTTAGAAATGTAAGAAATTGAAAGGGTAAAAAAGGAATAAGAGGATTGATTATATTAATTCGATTCTTATCGTGTGAAACGTGTTGCCACATCATATATGTGCAGGAGCAATGCCACTGCCTTCAGGAGTCATTGCCCTAATAAAGAAGCTTCGTATAATAGCAAAATGTTATAATTTTGCTTTTATACGAATAAAATATATCTATATTGTTATAATATTTTATTTTAGAATTAAAAATTCTCTGTGCGCTCCTAGCAAAAACTTGCCGGTTAAATTGAACTGAGAAGACTGCATTCCATTCTGCTGAGATGCAGGATTTTGACCATTTACTATGGGAGGTGGTTCGTTCTTCAAGGGATTGTTGGACTCTGCGTACAGTGGATACTGGTAACCGCTTGACTGTGACATTTTGTTACTTTAACAATCACTGAAACGAAACACATTAGATTTATTTTTATTTAGGAAAGTATAACATGCTTTTAAAGACATAAATTTCTACATATATCAAATATCTAACTCTAGGTTATCTGGAGAAAGTCCACCAATGTTAATATTCTAGATACAGAGTACGTAATAATGACATGGTAACGATCAAATGCTTAGCTTCCATTTTAATTGCTACTGTAGTTCAACAAACAACACAAAAAGAATTCAGTTAATTGTGAGATTGCCCCAGGTAACAACAAGAACATATATAATTCTGGCAAATTATAGGTCTAAGGTAGCACAGCTCCCAGGCTCAGCTAAAGATATCACAGAGACTGCAAGAGGTTCTAAAAGACTGTCAAAAGTTTGACAGATCGGTGCGAGAGGACCAGCCGCGCCTGGGACCTCGTTGACAGGGCGATTACCGTCTTAATAATCTATGAGGAGAGATAATATAGATCGGGTTGACGTTTAGGAGAGCCAAAGCGCATTGTCAGCGTGTGAAAGGTTAAAATGCAGAAGACAGAGGCTGGCACCCTCGAACGCCCCTACCTGCGTAATCTTCGTGATCATGGATCATATGTTCGTGATGACGTGAATCGCCGAAAGTTTAGAAACGGATAGACGCAGGCTCGCGCATCGCCCTCGTTGCCGTTCGCCTCCACGCAGCACCCACAGGATGTAAATTAATAGCAGCGATTCACGAACGAACGAACGAACGGCACGCACAACATTACGTGGCAGCTCGCGCGACCGCTGCGCCATGGACCGTGGCACGTGACGGTACCAGATGGCATTGCGATTTGCGAGGCCGGCGGCCAGGGTTCACCTGTTATATACCGAACGACCTCGATTAAACTCCGATTAGCTTAAACGGCGGTTAACTTGTCAAGCAATCTACTTGTTTTGTTAACGCAGCGAATTATTTTGATTACAAATTTTGCTCCGAGCATTTCTGCCGTTTGATAATCATTGAAGTGGCGACTAAACTCTGATTAATGTAATCACTTAATCAGCAATTAATTCTACCGATAGAATCGCTTGAAACAAAATTTCTTATTTATCCTTCCTGATCTAATTCCTTTTTAGTATATCAAAAACAAAAAATTGATAATTCTCTGTTTATAAAATAACACAGGTATTACTTGGTAAGTTAATCACTAACTGAATTAATTGGAGTTTGATCAACGTTATCCTTATTTTATGCTCCTGCACGCATAGTTCTCGAGCGATCGCATCAGCAATATTTTTTTTAAATGATGTAAACATTACAAAATGTAGAAGGAACGTATGTTCTTCGCAAATACAAAAGCAACTGCTCGCTTAATTCTCGAAACGGTTTCGCGAAGATCTTTCAGCAGGAGAATCAATCGCAACAGCATCGATAGAATATGTATACATCAATGGAATATATATATTTCTCGATAAATAAAATATTTTTTGCAATCTGTGGATCAAGTTGGGACGATTTGGTCATTGAAGAAGTCTGTATGGTTCTTTGGAATGATGGAAGATACAACGGTAAGAGAATGGCAGCGCGTATGAACGCGTTAGGTTCCGAGTTGGTCATTGTCATCATCGTCGTCGTCGTCGTCGTCTCTAGTCGCAGTTGGTTCCCAAGGCGGTGCCCAGCGCCGCTCGCAAATTGGTAACCCGGGCCTGCAGTTCCGTTGCGGAATTCTCATTTATGTGCAGTTGCAAGATCTTGCACGCGTTGGCCAATCCGCAGCTCTTCAGATGCTCCTTCAATCGGTCTAAAACAAACAGCGCGTAAAATTGTCAGTCGATCGAATATCGAGTAACGATACTCATTCTCTCAGGATGGATCTTTAAGATACCTGATTGTAGAACACTGTCCAATAGCGACAACGCGTTCAGTACGATGTGCACTTCGAGATTTTCGCGAGCGAAGAACTCGCACATGTTACGTCCAAAGCCCGCTTTGATCAGTAACTCCTCGGATTCCGCCGGGCAGATCCTCGTCAGTATCGTAAGACCCAGAATCGCTTCGTTTTGCATTAGCGCGTGTTGCGCCAGAAGCATGCCAACTAGATGCTGCACCGCACCGTACTTGATAATTGACAGAGCAATTTGCTTGTCCCTAAAAAGTATGTATAAAAAGTTTTGGAACCAAGTCTTTTGCCAGTAAGCCTTCGAGAACGAACCTGCTGTTGTTTATTAGCCAGGCGATTAATCGATTGGCTTCACCTTGGACACCAGGATGATCTTCGGTACTGCACCACTCAACTGCCCGCTTAATCAAGTCCTCTCTTCGTCCTAAAGAGATCGCGGCTTCCCCTGAAGCAAATAATTCAGCCTTAATTATTACGTTACTCATTCTGTGAGTCAAGTTAAATATCGCTTTAAATTCTCCAAAGAAGCTTACGACCTCTTACTTTGACCGTCTATGACTATCCTAAGCGTTCCCAGTAATTTGAAAACGACGGGGAAGGTAGGAATCTCCAGCATTGGATAGAGAACGTCGATCAAACCATCGGCAAGAATCGGTGATTTGTTGTCCGCGGGTATAACGAGATTACGTAACGCGCTGAGCAAGGCATGCTGGCATCTAATATCGCCTGATTTGGTGCCGTTTTTTTCAAGAATTTTTAACAGCTTCCGATGAATCCCCTGTTCGACCATGCGCTTGCAATGTGTGTCGGTCCGCGCGACATTGCCCATGGCCAAAACGGCGGTGATCTGCAAGTCTTCGTCAAAGCTCTCCAGCCATTCTACTAGCTTCTTGTACACAGGACCCTTGCTATCGTCGTACAGAAAATTCATGCTGTCATCTAAGAAAAAAGTTGTATGTTTGTTACAGCTGATGAAGTTTGCATTTGCATTTTTTCCTAGGACTCACCTCCAGTTAAAATCAAAACGATTAAGTTACAGGCAACTTTGAGAATTGACCGAGTTTCCTCATCGTTGCATTGGGGGCCATGTTTCTCCAATAGTTTCAGGAGCAATTCACACACTCCTGCCTTAGCCAACAATAGCTTTGCATTTTCTAGAAGAAAAATTACGTTATTATAAGCTATTACTCTTTAATTTAAATAAATTGGATACTTAAATCCAATTTTGTGAATTTACTCAAGTCTAATTATACTGAAATATTTAATCACTGTAATCTTAATTAAATTTGCACAATTTACATCTAATTTTAATTATTAATTTATTAGTTTACCGTCTTCCGCTTGGCCGTGCAAGAGCTCCAAGCACATCTCAGACAGCTCAGAAGAAGTGTCATTGGCTAGTATGTCAACCAGAACTCTCGTCAATCTCTCGTCGAGAAATATAATGTTCTCGTCGTTCAATATCCCTAGAGTGAGTAACACGTGCATCGCCGCTTCGCCACCGCTAATTCCATCTTCTTCCAAAACGCTGCAAACAATTGGTACCATGTCCTCCTCGAGTGCCTGGCGAAGTATATCTTAATAAAATTATCGCTTACCGTCGCTTTCCATTTTGCAATATCACTATTTATTTTCAATTACAAATGTATAAATGTATTTTCAAAAAATTTACCTTCTTGTACAACATATCCTGATCCACCAAAAAGTTCAACAAGAATCCAGCAGCTACATTCCGCAGAAAGCTGGCGCCTTCAACGTTTTTCAAGGCAATTCCTTTCTTTAATAGCGCTAGGATCAGTTTCAAACCATCCTGCTCTCTCACCAGATTTTTACCGATCTCTGCAACACAAATATTTATCATTAACTTTTCAATAATCAAACATGCATATTTATGAAAACTATATTGAGAGAACTCAATATAAATATCCACTTAAATACATCAAAGAAAACTACTAAAACTTGATGGCTCTTATTTATCTTTAGCTTTTCAATAATGAAACATACATATTTATGAACTATATTGAGAGAACTCAATATAAATATCCACTTAAATACACCAAAGAAAACTACTAAAAC